CAAGAGACAGGGAATAACGAAGAAGGAAATGAGAGTGTGCCGGATGATGTATGCCAATCAAAAGAGGAGCTGGAGGAAATTAATAGGGAAAACCTAAGAGAAACAACTTCAATCTTGGATCTGAGGAGAGTATCAAGGGAAGACAAGGGGAGAAAATCAGGAAAAATAATTTTAAAAAGCCTGGAAGATCTATTGAAGATAGACCAAATGCATAAAGATCTAGTGGAGATGAATCAGATGCACAAAATGGTTTCAGAGGGCATGAAAGATGGCAGAATGCTTAAAAAGACAGAAATAAAAAGTGAAAAAAGAGAAATAAGAGAGGGAATTACTTAGAAAGATGAACAAATGGAAAAATAGGAAGAGGGCCCTTAATGTTGAAAAACATGTATATATTTAACTTCGGGAATTGTAAAGGAGCATATCCTTTATATTAAAAAGCATATCCTTTATATTAAATTGAAATAAGGGAGATCTAACCAGGGTAAAGATGTAATATTGTGGGTTTTCATTTTAGGTAAATTAAACTAGATATAAGGTTGGGGAATGGATCTGGAACTACTTTTATTAAGAATGTTATTAGAAGATCTTGAGAATAGTGTACACTATGAAAGTAATATTATGATAGTAGCCATATTATATACTAAAATACGTACATGAATGATTTGAATGTTTGAAAGATGTCTGGAATTTGGGGGGACAACTGGGAAGACAATGAAGTGTAAAAATCAAATAATTGTAAGCAAATCATGTAACACGATGTTTGATGAGCAGAAATCAAATGTAGATAGAGTGAAAAGCTAATAAAATGTTTTTTTAAAAAAACAATCTTACTTTCAAAATTATCCATTTTCCCAACTAGCAAGTAGACAGCTTTTCAGTGATCCATTCAAGTGATAGTAATAGTTGTTTACAAATGAATCAGTAGGAATTGTTGCATTCTTCTTCTCTTTGTAGTGCTTTGCAAGTACAGTCAGCCTGCTTTTTCCTGGTTGACAGTTGTTAATGTATTTTTTTAAAATCTCTTTTTGATTTTAGGAAAAAGTAACTGGAGCTCAAGGGATTGTAAATATTTCTCTGCTGCTTTTATATTTAGGCTGAAGAAGAAGAAACAAAGGAACGTTTGTTTGAGTCCTTACTGAGCGAGTGTCGAGATGCCATACAAGCTGTTCGTGAGGAGTTGAAACCAGATCAGGTGAGCCCAGAGTATTGTGGATCACCACGTAACTGAGTGCATAAAGAAAATACCTTACGCTGTGTTGTTTCTTCTCAGCTCCTTTGCAATTTTGATCTATTTGTGTTTTCCTTCCTTAAGTGAACACAGTGCAGCTTTGTTCTTTTCCTTACAGAAGCAGCGCGATCACTCTTTGGAAGTGGATTCTGGGAAAGTCACTAATATTCAATATTTGCACAGGTAAGAGTCCTTCAGAGACCAGAAATGTCTTGATGTGATTTAGACACAAGGCACTTAATAGTCATGTTCTTATACACATATTCCAGGAAAACCTGACCACCTAATTCTCTCACTTTCCTAGTCCACTAGCTGTTTATGGTGGATTCAGGTGCTTTTGAAATGAACGTTGACAAATTGAACTCTTTCAATCGTGTTTCCCAGTTACCTGACTTACATCAAGCTGTCTACGGCAATCAAGCGCAATGAGAGCATGGCAAAGGCTTTGCAAAAGGCACTGCTGCAGCAGCAGCAGCCACCAGAGGATGATGGCAAGCGCACACCTCGGCCTCAGGACTTGATACGCCTTTATGACATCATCCTACAGGTAATAGCCATGACAGGGGAGACACAGATGTCTCCAATTCTCTGAGTTCACAATCTGCTGAGATCTTCTGTGTAACAATGTGGTATGATGAGTTCAGATGTCTGGTTTAAAATTGAACCGTCTTCCAGTCTGTTTCATCATGATATAAAGTGCAGTCTTGGTATGTTCATGGTTCTGACTGTAGAGGAGGATATCTCCCATCTGTCCCAGCAGGGCATCCTGTGAATAAGCGATACAGTCGGACTGCAGTACCCACAGGGGAGCAGTTTCATGCTCCCCCTACCCCACCAGCAGATGCTGAAAAGTGGGTATAGTAAACCCGAGAGAGAGGATAGTGGATAGTCTCCTGCTTCCTCTAGTGTCCAGTTCTAGTAATATACAGTGGTGCCTCGCTTAACGATTTTAATTGGTTCCAAAAAACCATCGCTATGGGAAAACATCGTTAAGCGAAACACCATTTCCCATAGGAATGCATTGAAAACCGGTTAATCCATTCCAGTGGGAACGGATTGCCATCCTTAAGCGAAAATCCCCATAACAAACATCACTAAGTGAAACAATGTTTCCCGCAAGGGAAAGCCATTCAAAAACACTGAAGCCGGCTTCAATGCTTTTGAATGGCTTTCCAATGTCTGTTTTCGCTCATTTTTAAGTGTCTTAAAATGTTTGAAACCTGTTTTAAATGCTTGGATTCGGTAGTGCACCTTGTGAAACATGTGCAAACTTAATTTGGTTTTGTTCTGAGTCTTCGTTAATTTTTGGTGATTTTTTGTTTTCCCCTTTTAAATCCATTGAACTGTCCGTTCAACTGTCATAATACATGAAATTAATTCTAGTCAAATCTACTTTAGTTTATTCCTAATTGAGAAGTCAATTTACATGCAAATCCCCCCTCTTTTTTTCCTGTTAATTGTTGGTTTCATCACTGAAGAATCTGGCAGAGTTGTCTCAACTTCCTGGCCTAGAAGAAGATAAAAACTACCTGAAGGAGATAGGAATAAAGACACTGGTATATAAAGCATACAGGTAACTAAATTTACTTAATTAGATGGTGATTAAGCTGAAGGATTTTCCTCTCATAGCCAACATTTCAAAATAGTTGTTTGGCTCCAAGAAGCTGTCGGTGGAAAGAAAAAGTGTATTAGTGCTGCTCCACTAACCTTTGTATACGTGCTAGGGAGAGGCTTCTTCCAGTGGCACTTCAGCATGTTGGAGATTTCATTAGCAGTACTGTATGTGAAAGCTAAATACAGGAGACAAGCACTAGTGTATAAGACTCTAGAGGGCCATAAAAATTCCTGTCTATAAATGTATGCAGATGGAAGAACTCTAGATTTGGAATCCCTTTTCTCATGCCCTGTTGTGCTGCTAAGACAAAAGCAGTTTTTCCAAGAGTGGCAAAGGGGCACCTCTGGATTTATGCCAGCGGGACAGTGAATTGCAGGACAGTTTAGAAGAATCAGAAAAGGAACTGGTTAGTGATCCCGCTGTTGCAGGAAAGATTCCAGTGGATTCCCTTATTATAATTCTACCATCCGCTCAGTCATTTTAAGGCAACGTGACCACTTCATTCCTTAGTAGAGGAAAAGGAGGGGTTCCAAGGAACTTGCATTTGTGTTAGGCGCTGTTTATTCTGCTGTTGGCTGATTGAACTCCTCTGTGAACCTACCCTTCTGTGTTGTCTTCTCATTCCACTAGGTGTTTTTTCATTGCACAGTCATATGTTCTGGTGAAAAAGTGGAGTGAAGCCCTTGTTTTATATGATCGAGTTCTGAAATATGCCAGTGAGGTCCAGGCCCAGATTGGAACTTATAAAAACAACTTAAAGGTATGAAAAAATTCACATTTGATGTGGTGGAACTTTGTCTTAGGGAGAACTCCGGGAAGGCAGAAGGTATGTAAGCTAAGGCATAAGTATATACATTTTAGTCTAACAGTGGGATAATTCTGTATCCAGAGGGTTGCTTTGTAGACCTTTTTCAGAGGGGTGGTCCTGCTAGTGCAACAAGAACAGGAAAGACTTCTGGCATCATTTTGTTTTGTTCTGTTTGTCTTCTCAAACTTAGTAAAAGAACAGCATCATGAAAATGAAAATAATAAAACCAATTGCAAGAATCTTACTGTGCAATTCTATATATAAGGGAAATTGTGCATCTGTTTTTTTACAGGTTTCTAGTAATCTGTTGTGGGCCTGGGTACATAATCAAGTGTGTGACCTATATCTGTCCAGGTGCATGACAGACAGCTAGAATGATCATGCACACAAGTTTTGCAGTTTTGGATTTATATTACACAAATCCAATAGGATGTTCTGGCCAGTAGGTTGCAACAGAAAAAGCATAGGAAATTTCAGAAATCTGGTAGCTGCAAAGAAAGAGATGAGTGATGTTCCATTCACAATAAATCAAAAACTATTCAAGAACTTAAGAACTCACTGTTCAGAGTAGAATATTCCACATAGTTTTATGCAATAGTAGTGAAGGATGTTTGTTCTGTATGAAGAATGAAATTACATCAAACCATACCAAAAGCATTTGCTTGACTAATCCTTGGTTAACTTGAGTTGGTAAATTGGTTTCTCTGCAAGTGTCACATCCCAAACACTTTTATACTAGACAGCTATTAACATATGAATGGTGCGATATCTCTACCTTTTCATTATTTCCAATATATCCACCTGTAGCAATTCCCAATCTTGCTGCAGTTAACAAAAAGACAAATCAGATCTTTATGTAATACAGGTTGACTAGTGCCAAGGGAAACTAACATTAGAGTTCTGGTTTGTTATTGTTCCAGTTTCTCTATGCACTCATAACAAAATCTGGTAACAACTGGACAAGATGACCAAAGGTGGGAATACGTGCTGATTTCCCCATATCCCCTCTAGCTTTTAAAGGAATTCGACTCTGTATACAAATTGTTTTAACAAGGAGATCTATCCAGTACTTCAAAAGATTAGTCCATTCAATGGAACACAAGTTTTAAGTTGTGGATTTGAGACAATTTCCTCATGCTTCCTCATGAATATATTGAATTTAGTTGGAGTCAGATGCAGCGGGGCAAGTTACAGTGACAACCAAAAAGTGTATTTGTTACATGCGCAATTATCCATAACTTGGTTTTTGGCTATGGCAAGTGTGTTCTGATTGATCCTGCCAAAGATCAGAACATTGATTAAAATTGCTAAAAACTTTGAGATGTGGAAGATATTTCTAATAGGATTGGTTTCATATTATAATAGGAACTGCCTGATGTTCAAGAACTGATCACCCAGGTCAATGCAGAGAAATACTCCTTGCAAGCAGCTGCCATATTAGGTGAGTGAAGGCCTCATTTAGTCTGTGTTTCAGGACTAGGATGGCACCGCACATGACACATCCTGTGACACTTTCGAGGTTTTGTACAGTGCTCTTGGTGTTCATAGTAATAGGGAGCCAGGGTGTTGCCAAAAACCGCTAGAGACAACATCTGCATCAAATGAAACTGAAAGGAGACAATGACTCTGTGGGGTCCCTCACCACCAGCATCCATCACTTGAAGCAGGGGGTTGGAATTGTAGGCCCCTTCCAACTTAACTTTTCTATGATTTCTATGAAAACAGCCATCTTTTGGCCCTTGTCCCATTTTCAAAGCATAAGTATCTCTAATTGATGACTAGTTCATGGTAGCTGAAATCCTGTTGCTTTCTTATGTATGGGGAAGGCAAATAGTGTGATATTCAGGCACAGGTAGCTGGCAATTAACGAGTCCCTGGTGGGATTTTTAAGCATGTGCCAAGCCAGCAGGCAGGCATACCCCCAAGAAAGCCAGTGGCAACTTGTTATTTGCTTTCCAGGAACAACTGAATGTTAATGCTATTTGCCTTCTGCTTTTTAAAAAGCCTTTTTTTTAAAGTTGTCTACATGACATAAACGCAAGCCCTGATCACTTTGCTAGGGAAGCATGTTTTATCATTGGAAAGTTACCTAAACTACTGTTCTGCTAGAGGGTTGCTTAAAATAGCATGCATGTAGAACTCGGTTTATTTAATTCATTTCTGCACATGTATACCCCTCTTGTTGCTGCAAATTGTGCCTTTTGGGAACCAGCAGAGGCCGTGAGAGAGGTGGCAAGAAGGATGGATGGGGCAATTTCTGCTTGCAAAGCTGTTTGCAGAAAGCTTGGTTGCTTCTGTCCCTTTAAGAATGCTTTTGCTACTCTTAGGGAGGCGGAGAGAAGGGGTGGAACCTCATCCCCTTTACAACTCCAGCTGCCAAGAATCCTCCACCCCTGGAAGCAAAGGAGGGGGAGGGAAAGGGATGTGAAGTGCTTTCCCCAAGGTCCCCAGGCAGGAGGAGTTTGTGTTTGTCTGTATATATATATATATGTGTGTGTGTGTGTGTGTGTGTGAGAGAGAGAGAGAGAGAGAGAGAGAGAGACTGAAGGGGTATAAAGGGAAAGGACTAGAGAGAGAGAAAATAGGGGGAGGAGAAGCACATCCCAACCAAAATACAACTGAGGACTCACCCCATTCCTACTGCAAAAGCTGACATGAGAGGCAAGGATTTTTTTTTTACTGACCTGTCTCTCTCATGCTCTTTTGTGGGGGGAAGAGACCCAGAAAGAGACACAACCTCACACAGGGACTGCTCTTGTCAGCTGCCTACCAGGTTGGAACGCAAAGAAACACAGACAGCAATTCATATAACACATGAAGTTGCATGACTGAAACAGAGCAAAAAAAACAACCCTGTGTATGTCGTGGGGTTAATCAGTAATGTAGATAAGCCTTTAGCCAGTAAACTGTAGTATAGTAATGACAAATCTAGGCAGTCTTTTGTTTTCTTGAAAGAGACAGCGCACGTCTGACATCTGTTGAGTTCTGCGTTGCATTTTTACTCCTTTGTTCTCCATATGCTGCCCCTCACCAACTTAAGTTGTGTTTCCCTTTAAAGTAAAGGGGAAAGCAACGTGACTAGTAAACCGAATGTGAGACGAAGCGTAGGTCTTGTGAAAATAAAGCCTCTCCCTTCTGTTCACTCAGCCGGAATGCTGATGCAGGGCTTGGTTGTTGCCTTGAGGGCTACAGCCTTCTTCACTCTTTTGCTGTTGCAGTGCAGTTCCCTTCACCCTGTCCAGAGGTCTGCCACCAAAATCATCTATATCTCTGATAAGATACCTTTTCTTCAGTATCCACACTGGTTTTGTGTCCACTCCTTACTTGGAAAGGCATCCAGAGCTTTGCCAAGCCATATTTGTCATCTTTCAATGTATCACTGCCTGCAGTCTTTACTCTTCCAGCGTCACCATTCCACAGTTACTCCAGTCTCCCACTAGCTCAGATGACTCTCCTTTTCCCCTTGCTGCTCCCATCCTCTTCGTTCAATATGTACTGTTATAGGAGTCTTTGACAGAACCTTATATTCCTCATCTCTTAGTGAGTAGGTGTAAGAGAAGTGAGTGCACATTCTTGCTGCTTCCTCCCTTGCATCAAATTTTAAATTGTAAGCTCTGGGAAGGTATTCATCTTCTAATTCAATGTAACATGATGCTCAATGATCAGAGCTTGGAAGTAACAGGTTACAAATAATGCGTTCCTTGTTATCATCACTTTTGTGCAGCAAGTAAGGCTTAAGTGAGCAACATTACAATTGTAAAGTAATAGGGAGTAACTGCCTTTTGTGGTGTGACCATCTGTTTTTAATTGGTTTTCTAGTTATAGGATGTATGTGGCCTCACTAGTTACAGTGCATTTTGGTACTACTGGCCTAGTGTCTTACAGTATTTTGATGGTTTTAAAAAACAGCAACAGAAACTTAAACTGTGATGGATAGTAAATTGTATTCACTCCTATTATTATGTGCTGTCCGGTTGCTTTCAATTTACAGCAGATCTCATCAGGTTTTTAAGGTATGTCAGATGTTCAAGGAGTGGTTTATGATTACTACCCATCAGTAAGTTTCCATGCCAGATAGCAATAACAACAGCAATAAAAGGCATCCATGTGTGTAACTCAAAAGAAGAAGAGAGAGAGAGAGAGAGAAAGAATTAAAAATCAACATTGCTGTCTTACTATTCTTCCTTTTAAAGGGAAAGGCTGGAACATAGACCACTTCATAACATATTTTAATATTTTGGAATTCATTCATAAACTCACTGAATTCTGCAGCATCAGCTTTTACATTCCTCTGGTTCTGGTGAGGTCGTTGTATTGTTAGCAACTGCATATCCTTATAATTTTGCTCTTACTCTTCCAGACGCAGGTGACAGCCATGAAACTGAGTCCCCATCCCAGGTCAAAGATGGCAAAGTGAGTCAGTTTTGATACATTGTGGAATGGAAAACAATTTCAGGATGATCTGCAAAATGCATGTTTTTACTTTATGCGACCAGACAAATGCTTAGTTTCTTAGTTTCATTGTATGAAAGATCTTTGCAGATTAGGACATGAATGAATCAGGGTGGGAAAGCGAAAGAAATCGAACTCTGGAGCAGTGGAGATACAGAAGGAGGGCATGTTGTCACATATATCTCCAGAACCTCCGACTTCTGTTGCACTGCTTTACTTTTCATATTGGCTTTCCCAACAACAATGAATAGAAAGATGTTTAGGAAAAGATTCCAAGTTTTCTCTAGGAATTAGAGATCTCAGTTCATAGGAGTATGATCATGAAGACTTTCTGTTAGGCATTTGGTATAAAAGGTGATTTTAGGGAAGACGTCTTAGCTGCTCAGGTGCTGTTTGGAGACAAAATACCTTCCTTACCAAGAAATCTGAACTCAAACCAGTTTTGTAAAATTTCATCGACAACTGTTCACTTGTGAGAAGGTGTCAACTTTCTCTTAATATGCACAGATGCTAGAGGATTTTTATAGTTTGGTTTATTTTATTGTGCACAAGGAGACAATGTTCTCTCCAGCATTGGTTGGTTGGTAGGCAATGTTCTGTCTGATTTTCAGCCCAGCTGGACGGGGCTCTGCCCTACGTGTGTGTGACTCTTGGAACCAAAGCAGCTGGAAACATTCACTGTGGGTGCATGGAAGAGGAACGCTGCGTGGAGGGTGGCAGAGTCATGCGTGCTCGGGCACCCACACAGCTTAGAGGGAACCTTGTTGGTAGAGTTTTTTTAAGGGTTTCATAGCAGTTCATCTGAAAGCAGAGCTGGTGTGGAAGGGTGATGTATAGGCACACAAGATGTTTGCTTACTATACATAATGATGTCTCACATCAGGCTAGACTTTACCAGCTAGCCAATTTTGTGTTATTTAGTTGAATCTTGGATTTTGTTTCCTTTTTCTATCCAGCCACTTTCGGAACACTTTGAGATTTTCTGTCTGGATCCTTCTCTTGTGAGCAAGCAAGCCCGTCTGGTGCATTTCCCTCCAGAATTCCAGCCAATACCATGCAAGCCTTTGTTCTTTGATCTGGCTCTCAACCATGTCACTCTGCCGCCACTGGAAGACAAAGTGGAGCAGAAAACCAAGAGCGGTCTCACAGGATACATCAAGGGCATCTTTGGATTTCGGAGTTAACAGGGCCTTCTCTTCCTGTACTCGAGGAAAGCTCCAGCAGGTTCAGGCATCAACTACTTTTGTTTAAAATCTACATGGAAGGTTTTAATAGTTTCCCAGTATTTTGTCTTTCTCTCTCTACACCTCATTTATTTGAAATGTTTCACTCTGCAGAATGTGGTCAGTCTCCAACAACATCTTAAACTGAAGGAAAGACCTGGAGTCTCAGACTACTTCTCTTCAGTGGCTCAGGCAGGAATACTATCCACTTTGTATGGGCTAGATATATTCTTTATTTCATTTGATGGCTGACATTGTAAACTTAATTTTTGAAAAGCTAGCTCAGTCCTCTGGACAGTACAGAGCAGAAGGAAACCAAAGGCACAAATAGTTATTTAGCCAGGCTTTGATTGCCTAAGCAGACTGTGGGAAAACCCAGATTTGATCAGATCTTTGTACTGCCTGCCATGTTTGGCTTCTTAACAATTTTGTAAAGTCTTTCTTTTTCTGTTGTGTTTTACTTTCAAAAACTTTAGAGCTCAGAAATACTTGGATTAAAGGTCAAGGTTGATAGATGGTGATTGAAATGTGTAAGGCTGCTTTACAGTCTATAGTATATTCTTTTCTCCTTGAGACACTACTTTTCTTAACACAGGAATAGTCCCCAGAGGGTGTCCCTGAGAACCTAAAAAGCCTTTGGATTCACAGAGAATAAGCTGCTTGCAGTTTACACTTTAAAAGGTTCACATTTCCCCTCTTTGACGCATCTGAAACTGGTAAATTTAAGGGGGTGTTCTGTTGCTTATTTATGTCTTTCATCCTTTCCAGCATATTACATTAGGTTAGTTTGGCGAAGCCACAAAGAATCAGTAGACAGAGCCACTGGAATCTTAAGCAATAAAGATCTTAGCCATGCATTCAAGAGCACGTTTTATGTGAGAAGGCATTTAACTATGTTGTGGAAATCCAAGTATCTTCATGTCAATATCATTTTTTAAAAAAATGTATAGGTACAATTGTTCTAAATATTTGTGAACCTAAATTGTACATGGGACTTTTTCATGAGCTATATTAATAAAGGTTTAATCTAGTTAATTGAAATATTAGTTGGATCAGGCAGTGCTTAGCTATATTTTACTATTCATATTTTATCACACTATGCTCCAGTTCTGTTCTGTTTCTTCTTGGTATTGTTGGAAACAGTGTTAAAACTGGATTATTTCATAACATTGGTGTAGCAGGGTGCAGATAATTGCTGTTCTGGGATTCAGAAAAATCTGGTTTAATTATATCAATTGATTATATCAATCTTCTTTGAGTAAAATAAATGGTGCCAGGTATGTTTTAAAAGATAGATAGATATATGAAAAGGCCTTTCTGATCTCTTTGGGAGGCAATTTTTTTAAAGAAAACTATTGTGAAAGAAAAATGGAGGAACAGAATATTTTTAAATTTATCACGTGATAACATTTCAAATGGATGTGAAGTATGGTTAACAAATATTGAAGGCTGAATGGAAACAAGAGATCGGTGTCAATAACTGTGGCCCAGTTTTCTTTCTGGCATATGCCCATTAGTGTTTTGTTGATTATTCTTTCCTTCAGTCTCCACTCCTCTTCCTGCATTGAATCTGAAAACTGTTTTCCTCCTCAAGGTGCAACTCAAGCTTCCTTTCTCCCCAGGCCTGTAAGCAACTGGGCACATTCCATTCCCATTGCTTTTGTCTTTGCTTACTATCACAAATTGTTAAAACTTTCTTTGTTGAACATGCTGTGGCACAAATCGTATTAGTCAGACAGAAAAGAAATATGAAAACAATAAAGACTTACTCCTGCCTTCTGAGTTTATGGTCGTAAACTCTTGATCTTCCATTTTGATGCTGCTTTTATGGAAAGTTGAAAGTCACCTTTGCAGTGGCTGGAGGTAGACTTCTACAGGGAGAGTAAAATTAACGTGGACATATTGCAGCAGAGACTGTTCTGCCACATACAAAATATTAATGAGTTCTCAACCCCCTTATTTTATGGTAAAACTAAGTGGATCAGAAATATTTTAGAAGACTAGGCTATGTACTTGACAGTTATAGGCCAGGTGTTTGTGGAACATCTGGGTTGCTTCTTCTCTTCCTCAACACTTGTGCTGAATGTCATCTTGCTAGTGGTTCCACAACACCCTGTTGGGCCCCGGGCCCACTTCAGTTGTGGTCAGCAAAGCAGTTGTTATCCATGAAGCCGTCAGCATTGGGGCCAAAAACTGCTGCATGCAATCAAGAGTCTGCTGTTGAGCAGTGGGAACCTGCCCTGCAGCACTGTTTCAGGACAAATCATTCATCAGAAATGGTAGATTATTTTTAATGGTTAATAAACAGGGCTTTCAGAACTGTTTTATCATTGCAAGGGTGGGTCTCAGACTGGCAGGCAAGTCATGAATTTTGTTTATTTGGATATGGACGGTATTTTATATCCACTAATGCCCCCTTCCCCTCTAGCTCAAGCTACCTTGAGTTAACTCAAGTTTTAAATCATGGTTGGAGAGCTAAACATTAGCAAGTAATAGTGCAAAATTAGTATGCACATAATAGTACAAGGTTAGTATGAAACTTTGGCTTAAGTTTAGGATTTGACAATGTTGGGGAAGGGAGGTTGTGTTAAGTTAAACCCATATGTTATGTTTCAGTGAACACGTCGTATGGCAATGCAGAAACTTAAAGTTGCAGGATTTGACAATGTTGGGGAAGAGAGGTTGTGTTAAGTTAAACCCATGTGTTATGTTTCAGTGAACACGTTGTATGGCAATGCAGAAACTTAAAGTTGCAGCCAAAAGCTGCGTGAAACTGAGGAACATATATTTAGAGGGAATACGATATTTAGACAGACATGGTCAATGCAGTGCTTGATTATGAAGAATTATGCAAGCAAAATGTCTGTCCAGAAGTAAATCTTTTCCCATTGTTTACAGTAGTGTTCATTCCCTAGAGAGAGTGGACACAACTGACTGCAGCCATGTTATTTCTTACTATCCGCCCCCCTTACTTCAAGAAGGACACAACTACAATAGCACTCATAATCACTCAATTTAGCACACTTCTGATGGATCATTTTTAGGGTGGTTCTACTACACCTCAGTTTTCATCCAGTTTTGCCTGCTGATTTCACAAGTGCTTTGAGACTGTGCCTTAATGGTCCGTGGTAAGTTTTATTCCAAATTCATGCATAATTTTAAAAATATGCTAAAGTGCAACAGAATCATATAAAGCAAGTAAATACATTTATTCTTTTCCGTTGATGGCTGCCCGGAATGATCAAAGTTAGGTAGCATTGTTTAAATATGCTAAAGTGCAATAGAATCATATAAAGCAAGTAAATACATTTATTCTTTTCCGTTGATGGCTGCCCCAAATGATAAAATTAGGTAGCATTGTTTTTTGTTTAGAATTTACTGGAATTTGTTGAACTGTCTGATGTGGCTTTTAAATCCTGTCATGAATAGTTTGATGGCAGTGAAGTGATAGATCCTGAAAATGGGCTAGTAGAATATGGTAAATGAGCAAGTTCACTAGATCATTTAGGCATAATATTCATATCTGATAATAGAAATCTGAATTTCAATATCTGATAAAAAATGTTTGAAAGAATGTTTGCATGATAAGGTAAATGTATACGGTAAACCACTTCTGAGTACCGTATACCTAGGAAACTCCGAAAGAGGCCACTGTAAGTTACAATCAACTTGATGGCATGTAATTACAGTGGTGCCCCGCTTGACGAGGCATAATATTCATATCTGATAATAGAAATCTGAATTTCAATATCTGATAAAAAATGTTTGAAAGAATGTTTGCATGATAAGGTAAATGTATACGGTAAACCACTTCTGAGTACCGTATACCTAGGAAACTCCGAAAGAGGCCACTGTAAGTTACAATCAACTTGATGGCATGTAATTACAGTGGTGCCCCGCTTGACGATTGCCCCGCTTGACAAGACAAAACCAAAAGAGGCCACTGTAAGTTGAAATCAACTTGATGGCATATAATTACAGTGGTGCCCCGCTTGACGATTGCCCCGCTTGACAAAATCGCTTAACAATTGTAAAACAATGATTCAATGGGTTTTTTTACTTCACAACAGTCAGTTCCCTGTTTCGTGAACCGATTTTTCGCTTAACGACGATCTAACATGACGAAATCGCTTAACAATTGCAAAACGATGATTCAGTGGGGGGTTTTCGCTTCACGACAATCAGTTCCCTGTTTCAGGAACAGCTGATCGGTGGTTTGCAAAATGGCTCCCCGCTGTTTTGCTGACCTATTTTCGCTTTACATGCATCGGGAAACGGCTGCCCTGTGGAGGATCTTCGCAGGACGATCATGCATCGGAAAATGGCTGCCCTATGCAGGACGATCAAGTATTTCCCCCATTGGAACCCATTGACCGGTTTTCAATGCATTCCTTTTTTCCCCTTTTTTCTTGCTTGACGACGATTTCGCTCTACAGCGATTTTGCTGGAACACATTATCATCATCGAGCGGGGCACCACTGTATTGTTACTATTAGAATATTTGTTCTTTTTATCTGCCATCAAGTTGGAACTGACTTCTAGTGACCATAGTACAGTTTTCAAGGTAAGTAAAATATTTAAGGAGTGATTTTATCTATTCCACACCTTCAATGAGTTTCCATTGCTGAGCAGGAATATAATAATAATGTGCTGTCAGGTCCATTCTGACTTTTCAGGGTTTTCCAAGTAAACAATACTCAGAAGTGATTTACCATTGCCTTCTTCTGGAAGCGCCCTTGGACTGTGCAGCTCGCCCAAGGCCACACAGGCTGGCTCTTCTCTGAGGAGTCACAGTGGAGAATCAAACTCCCCATCTCGGACTGCGTAGGCAGATACCTAAACCACTAAGATAGCATATAGTTATTGTTATTATTCAAATATACTACTCCTAAACTGAAGCTGCACATAAAGGTGTGTAATATTTGGTATAAATACTTGAACAGCAACTCCCAATACACTAAGTATTTTTTAGTTTTGCCATTCCTTTGAGCTGGAAATTAAATCAGAATCCATAAATGAGTCTTTCTGTAATTTATTGTTGCCTAAAACCTGTTATTGGGGCTAGAAATGTATTCTGTCTTCTGCAAAATTCTTTTTCATTGTATCAGGATGAAGTTAAGACATCTGTCTGTTTTATAGTGGTCAAGTGGGTAAACAAGATATATATTTTATTAAGGCTAAAAATATTGGGCTCTTAATATATGTCTGTTCCCTATATGTAAGGTTCGAACATTCTGCAAGATGAACACGTAAGTTAAAGGAGTGACAGAAAAAGGAAGAACAGATTAATTGGGGAAAGAATGGGGGATTGAAAGAATATCCTGCGAAAACAAAAATAAGGCGTGAAAGGAATAGAGACCAAACAGTACAGTTTAATGGCAGATAGTTAAATGAGAAGCTTGTTCTGCAGAAAACACTCTAAAAGCTGGTAATCTGTTGTGCAAACTAACTTGCCAGAGGTGACAGAGCTGTATAGTCAAGTCTGGGCAAGCTGGTGCAAGACTGGGGATCCTACAACCCAAGGATAGAAGGAGACCTCTTGCTTTATTTCAGCCAGCTCTTTGGAGTCAGCCCTGTGTCTAGGTGGGTGACTGAGAGCTCTGAAGGGCTGGATGATCTTGTGGTCAGAGCCTCAGGTGATGGGGCAAATGTGCTTATTTGGGTCCTTAGCCATGCTGAGAACAACACATGCAAAACATGGAGATGCACTACATTAACATGTGGAGTACTGCAACTTTTGAAAATAGATTTCTTTATGAGATAAATTACCAACCAAGTTGTCATTCCTGTAAGTGATGGTTTGTTCTTTTTAACTTCCCCATCCCACCCACCCCTGAATCCAAACATGCTGAGGCATTTTACAGAATAAAACACAATGGCCAATACCCTGCTCACACAACTTTATACAGCAGAAACTGATTACACCATCAGCTTTGACCAGTAAAACTAAGTTTGAATTAATTAAATGCTTCCTATTTCCCTGTTTTAGGTTTTGAGGCTCCCTAGGGCTCCCTTTTGCCAAGGGGGAAGCCTCGGAATTGGAAGAGGGGGAGACTTTAATCACCAAAAATCCCTGCCAGATCACCTTCAGCAGATGTGAACATGGCAGCGGGCAATCCGGTGATTGTTTTTTCTTATTAAAGTCAACCCTTCCCATTCCCAAGGCTCTCAAAGGTTTCCATGGGCAAAAGAAACAGGAACATCGGCATTGAGTTTGGCTGTTAGGAGTTGATGCCATCATCAACTTCCACCACATAGTTTTTCCCCCAAAAGGATTTTGCCCAATATTTACTCTTCTGTAAGAACTGACATCTTTGAGTGAAGACTGCAATCAAGAAATGAATAAATAGTTTGCATTCTATATGGTGTAGTCCTAATTTTGTATCTGCAGTTAGGTAGAATAAGAAGTTGCAAATGGCTAAAACTGTCAGATATAGAAACATTTGTTTTACAATGGTTGGTGTTTTATGTTCTGTTCATGTTCTACTGGGACTCTTGACCTTCCCACGAAATATTGAAATCTTGCTTTGTAATTTTTTAAAAAAGTAATAGCAAAATAAAATAAACAGTTAAATTATGTGCTGGTGAATACTTCCTGCAGTGCTGGGAACAAAAAATATTTTTCAGCTACACACTTGATTACCTTGCTTTTAGTCGCTGCACAATTTCAGCATGGGAGTCATTGAAGCCAAAATCAATGTGTATGCTTAGTCACAAACAGAACACAAACCAATCTAGTTTTACGCCAAGCAAAAGTTTAAAAAATAAAAAGGTCTGAATGA